CAAGGAGGTCCTCCAACTTACAGGGAGTAACTTGGGGGTTGGTGGCAGGATTGGCACTGCAGCCACCAGAAAAAACCTCACACTGGTCCATTTGGACTAGTGTGGTGCTGAGGTATCACCTGCCACATGGCTGCACTCAGGTTCTCATCCCTGAGGTGGTTTGTCATGTGGCGGGTGTAATGACGCGCTGTAATCAGTGTGTGCTCCTTACCACTCTCTTTACCGAATACCTGAGCACATAATCCAACTAAAGAACATTCAAGGCATACTACACTGAATACCTCAGCACATTGCCATTACAGACCAGCAGAATGCAAAGAATGTATGCACGTTAAATCTTCAACTTTTCTACAAGCCTGTGCTGAGCCAGACGCAGATCTGCTTTTCATAGGAAAGCTCAGTTCTTGGAGAATTTCCATTGTAATTTTATGCTTGCCAAAGTGGGAAAAAAACTGGCCCTTTTCAACCCCTGGAAAGATTTCAGAAGAGAATGCCTTCAATAAGAGCTTGCTGACATAACACTCAGTTACAGGTCATCCATAGTGCCATCAATGAGAATCATGCGCAGTGCCTTTTTAAAACTAATCTTTAAGCTGTGTTCGTTGAATTTTGTGAATTGAGATAATGGAGCTTGAAGAATCCCTGAGAAGGACATGGTTCAAGCACTTAACTCTGTCTGGATAAACACCGATGACCAGAGGAACCAACATTCATTGTTCTTAGATATAGACTACTTTGCAAGGCACCTTGCATACCATCCAACTATCCATCTATCCTTCAACCCTTCATACACGGTTCACGGAGAGCCTGGAGCATTTGCCAGGTGGAATAAGGCAGAGGGGAAGGCGCCGTGCAGGATGCACGTCCATTACAAGCCAAATACTCACACATCACAAGGGAAATTGAGGAAAGCCACTTCACCTAACCGTATGGCTTCATACCCCTGGGAGGAAATCAGAGCAGCTGGAGAAAGTCCAGAGAGAGCATGCAAATTCCCCTGAAGTATGTCCCCACAAGCTACAAAGTAGCAAGTCTTACCACCAAATGTACCCACAAGATGGTAAATGTATATAATTCATGTAATTTTTTATTACATGAATTATATACACACACATCAGAAACTTCTGATAGTTTCAGCAAAGAAGAACAAGCATAACGGACAATAAAGGCTCTTTCACCCTGCAGAAAGTCTGGCTGTGGCTCATTCTGGCTCAGCATGCGAGTGGAAAAGCAACATTTGCTTCTGGTCTTTTCAAAAGTACATCCAGATCAGCATCTCTAGAGGCAAGTGCCACTTTTTATATCTCACAGAAACAAACTAAACGCATATTTCCAATTGGATGTTACTTTCTTGCAAATATATTGTTTAAACATTCAGTTACTGGCTTATCGGGGTAACTTGTCGGATTTAAGGTAGTCTGGGCAAAATGTAAGTGAACGAATATGAAGTCCATTTAAACTGTGGTACCAAGTTACCCCGATAAGCCAGTAACCCAGCTTCGTAGTACAGGCCACTGATCAGAATATAACAAAACCAATAAACTGCTATTAAAATTGCAACTTTTGTGAAAAGGCAATAGGATTTATTCACCAATAAGTCAAAAATAAGTTTTGTTAGAGCAACATTAAGAACTCATCCCCAAAGGCTATAGAAAAGCAGGCACAAACTATTCAAAGTGTCCTCTTTTTTTATCTTTGAGCATAGGCAGACCCTGGCCAGGAACAACGTAGCACACCACCCCTCTGTTGAGAACTTTCACCGTCCGCCCACCTCAGTTGGATGACATGGGCTTTGACTAGTACTGCCTTTGAACACCTGCCTCTCAAAGTCTCTGCGTGGCTGTAATTTATTTTTTTTTTTACCCTGGTTTTTTATTTTTCCCCACAAACAGAAAACAAACGCCATCACAATCTGGGAAGCTGAACCGAGACGAAAGCTGTTAAGCAAAATTTAAGTATGTATACGTTCCTTTCTGAGGCAATGTCTTGAGAGAAAAAACAAAGATCCATTCCAGTGAATACCACTTTGACTTCAAACCAGAAATTTCACCAATATACGACTCAATTAACACATTATAAAATGTGCGTAAAAATTGAAAGAGTAAATTTGTTGGATAAACTGAAATATGGAACATGTATTTCCTCTTTAACCTGCAGAGCTGATCCATGCTTGATTTTGGGGGGGGGGGAAAGTTACACAAAACCAAGAATGAAAAGAATGTTACATCAATGTTGCTATTTTAATAAACATTGTTTCAAACTAAATTTAATGTGTGCACAAAACACTCATCCCAAACCTAGGCTACAACTGATCAGACATCTTACACTTACGAAGTCAATGCATAAGTGCTGAAAGTCTGTGAAGATATTTGGTTTAAGGCGAAATTATATATTTATATATAATTAAATCAAACTGCTTAGTCCATCAAAAAAAATCTAAAATATCTGTCTAATATGTATGTTCTTTTTTCCTCCTCTGTGACCCTGACCTGGATAAGCATCTAGAAGATGGATGGATAGATGGATGTTCCTGTTTAATATTTTTCTCAATCAGATTAATATGGCTCTTCAGCTATTTCCCATAAAAGATTTGAAAATGTGAAAAATGGAAGCCTTCATGTAAGAACAGATACTGTGGCTTTTAACTTCTCAAATTTCAAAGTTAAAATCTAAGACAACGCTGGAACACTCCATATACGACAATGCATTTTGTGCATAGCGGAAAAACCAGAACACAACACGGAAATATTCCATCAATGTGACTTGATTACATGGGACTCAAAATGCCACATATTCCGGTTTGATGAGATCCTGAGTTCCTTTACACCTGGCAGGCCAATGTCTTTCTTTTTAACTATGCAACAGCACTTTCAACCCAGAGGTGAAACAGAACATATATGACTGTGTGTGCATCATAACCAGAAATAAGAGCAAGACCATTCCACAAGCTCAGACACCCACTTATGCTTCAATTAATTCCTGCTCTGCACCTGATTTCAGCAATTATGCATGGAAATCTATCCATAAGGTTCATACATGGTCACAAAATAAGCACTGTGCAGTCCCACCTCCAGTCACTCAAATCAATGTTTAGGTTTCCTACGCCCAGAGCACAATACAGCTGCAGGACACATTCAAACAACATCAACAAAGCAAAACTAACTGCCAGAAAACAGGAGTGTTGTTTTTTTTTTTTTAAAAGCACTGACATTGTTTGAAACAGAAATGAACATACAAATACATTTAAAACCAAAGCTTTAGTTTCAGGCTGTATCATATCTTAATAAATAAAGGACTGTTAGGCTTCCTTAAAATACACAACCACCCCACAAGCCTCTTTCGAATTGTAACTTAAAGGATTAAACCTCAAGCAGTAAATTAACCAAGGACCATATGTTTTCTGTCACTTAATGATTTCATTTTGCTGGAGGATGCAAACTTGCAAAGTGAAGTAAGTCTGGCAATATCAATGCGGACATCTACCAGCAAAAACCTTAATCATCTACAGCTGAGCTGAGGAAAACTGCTGTATTTTACCTCCATTATTTATATAACCAGACAAAATATGTTAATGGGATGCAGTATTATTATTATTATTAGGTGCCATCAAGTTCATGTTGACTCCAGGCAACTATTTAGATGACATTACGCCAGAATATTTTGACTTTGTTCTGGTACGCAATACAGCATTATAATAATACTTCTAATATAAGTCCCTGCAAAGGGCTCAACATTATAACTGGGGATAATTCAATACCATTTTTTCTCCAATACAATCACTGAAGCTCGATACCAATTACAGATGGGAGATGTAAAAAAAAATATGCAATATTTTAATACTGGGATAAATGAGAATATCGAAATGACCCTCCACAGACACACAGACCGCACCAAGAAGGTCACAATAATTTTTTTGCCAAGAAAAAAAAAACAGATAGCATAAAAAGAGATGTATGGATAACAGGTTGCGTTAAATCTTGTCAGGAAGGCTGATTAAGGATGATGATCACTGTTCTCTGCGGGAAATGACAGATCGACGTGCTAGATATGATTATAATCTAAAAATGTTGCGGGCAGGCTAAAGCCATTCAGAAAGTTCACCGTCAACATCAGTATATTGATGCTCCTCAACTTACGATGGAGTTACGTTCCAATAGCCCCATCGTAACTTGAAAATATTGTAGATTAACTATGAATGTGTTATGATAAATAAATAAGTCACGGAATAAGTAATATTTGGTTAAACAGAAAAAAACACTGTAGGATGCATTGTTAAACACTGTGAGATGTTTATGCTTATGATCACTACAGAGACTGGAAGCATGGCTGGGTGTATTCTTTCATGACCAGAATCAATAGAAAGTTTAGTACAACATCAAGCCCAGGAACAGATCAGAATCATAACGCAAGGAGCATGTTATTTTCACTGCACTGCAAGAGTTACTGTTTGATATTCTCTCACTCCACACTACTGTTTGCTGCTCGCTGGGTTGTTGCAGAGTGCAGCTGGCAGCAATTCTGTTGTACTCTTTCTTACATTTAATTTTTTGATCGTTAATTGTAAGTCTGTCCAACCCAAAGATTTTTTGTGGTCCCATTTATTTTGCTCTAAGAATATCGCTGATGTCATCATGCGGTTTTGGTTGCAGGTATTGGTACACAGTATCAGACTCGATATGAAAACTAGTATCGGTAACCTTGTACCCCTAATTATACGCGTGACAAGGGGCTAACAAATGACACTGACCAAGTTATACATTTGTTCGAGACAGCACATGACAATAAATTTCCTTATTTAGATGTACAATACAAACATCACATCTAAACTGTGCCCTTGTTCTGCTGAAACACAGACATGGATTTAGGCAAGGCACTCCCTTCGCCCCCCAGGGTACCGTAAATGCAATCTAAGCAAGGGAAGCAGCACCCTGTCACCTTGAATTCCGAATGAAGCTGATTAAAGTACCGGAACTGCGCTACATCCCCCACAAGGGCCTCACCGTGATGACAGCCTTGCTGAGACACAGAGAGCCCCTGCATCCATACTCTCGCTCATCCTGGCTCTTGTAGTAGCTCAGGGTGTTGTTCTTTAACACCACCCATCGGTCCTGCCATCCGTGAATGTAGTTGGTCCACTGCAGAAAAAAAAAAACATTGTATGAGAAAAACAGGTCCAAACACAATCTTCGTTAAAGTGTGCCAGCGTGTATAATTGTTTAACCTTATTAATAACAAGTGTAATGATTCCTCAATGGAGACATATAAAAAAATTATAATAAAATGATTTTTCCTAACCTTATAATAAAACGCGATTCTGCATATATAAGCAGATATATAGCCTGAACAATCATGTTGCTGCAGATCTGCTATTTTTCAATTTAGAATTTCGATCTGACGAAAGCGATTGGCATTTTGCGGTGTTTGGAAACAAGGGAAGGGAAAACTTAAGTTACAACAACTAGAAACGAATGTGAAGCAATAAAAAGCCAGCTATACTATCAGATAGCACCAAGGTAGGCGACTTTAGACTGGGATCAGCAAGATCTTTGGACTTTGTACGCAACGCACATATAATTTTATTACGAATCGGGTGAATTTAAAACCCAGTGTGAAACTAAAGCGCTTGCCAAGAAACTGTGCACACTAATCAATATTTTGTATATTAAGACAATTTACAGCAGCTGCCTTCCCAATGTCCAGTAACTTCATAAATATTGCTTCCATAAACCATTAAGAGCGCATAACTCTGACTGGGTCTTGCTTGTATTTAATGGACATGTAATCATCGCACCAGTCCACCTTATTATAACATGTATATAAATCCGCAGAAATTACTGAGATTTTCTTTACTAATGATAAAGTACTTTACGCTATGAGAGAAAACTTAAATACCGTACATCCTTCTTTGTAACAGTACCTAAGCTGGTTATATGTGGGCACCCCTCCCTTTTATAAGAACAACAGCGCAGCAGATTATCCAGCCTTACCTTACTGAGAACCCCACAAAGCTCAACAGGCTGTCCGAACTCAGTATCCAAATCTTCCTCGGAGCCCGAAGAGTTCCAGCTCTGATTATCCGACATTTAGCTGGCCAGCCTCCTCAAAACAAAGTACAAAAAAGTAAGAAATAAATAATAATAATAATAATAATAATAAAAACACTGCCGCGAAAAACGGGCGTCACTTCTCACGTTGAAAGTCAGGTGAAAATAAAGGAGCGCGCACTTAAAATCTAATCCAGCAAGGGGAATAAGGTGGCTAAATGGATAAGGCGAGAAATAAATTTGGCCATTTAAACGATACTAACACAGCGCACCAATGACAACAAATAACTGGTCAATCAGACAAGGCAGGGCAAAAAAAGCAACGCGTATGCACGCCTGGCTAAAGGGAAAACACTGAAACATGAGACCCGCACTGGTTCTGCCTTGACAGACCTCTGAGGTAATGAGCTCGATGTTAGGGGAGGTGACGAAACTGACCTAAACAGACGCCATTTTCTTCTACGTCCTTCTCTCCTATCTAATTGGTTGTCTGTAGTGCTCTGTGTTGACGATGTCTGTTGTTCTTTGGTTTTTTTTTTATCTGTGGGGTGAAAGAGTTATAGCAAGGTATGGATTAGGTATGTCAGACGGTGGTCTTGTTGTTTTTGTAAAATATGACGTAGATCAAGCGCGACGCGTCGCCAGAAAATGACGAGGACACTTTTGCACCGCGGATAAAACTGATCACTTGACCTCAAACCTGTATAATGTAGACACGGCATAAAACAACGGAAAGTTAAAACCAGGGCTGTGGAGTCGGAGTCGGAGACAACTTTGGATACCTGGAGTCGGAGTCGGCAAAAAGTTAACCGACTCCGACTCCTACTAAATTTAAATGGGAATTAAAAAAGTAAGTTGAAATGTCCCAATTCACAAACAGTCATAATGAACTACTTCTCTGCTGTAAGAATAAAGCCCAATGCATGCAGTGCATAATGTTACCACAAAACGAACATGTCAAGTAACCATGAAGCATGCTTTTCATTGACTGTATGCGTCACTATATGGAATGTAATGCACAGGTAAGGTGCGGCACCGCTTTCCATTGTGTCGTGTTCCACTGTTACAGGGAACTGTGAACCTAGCCTAAAGCCCCCCATACATTTACAGATGCACTGCCGATTTTTCGGCCGTTCAACGAGTCATCACGCGTCAAACGCCTGAAAAATCATCTGGTGTGTTCTCAGCTCCGTCGGCTCCCCTTCGCTATGCGCTACCCTTGAAACCTTGTTTTCATTGTGTTTGTCTTTAATCTGGCATTATAGTAGAGTGTTGGCTTCCTAGCCAGTAGTTCTGTGGTGAAATGACATGTATGTTGCCTTCCTTTCCTTCAATGGATGTAGAAAATACATTAGCATAGTATATACATACAGGGGAGTCGGAGTCGGAAGATTTGGAAACTGAGGAGTCGGAGTCGGAGCATTTATCTACCGACTCCACAGCCCTGGTTAAAACTATCGATTGGGATGCATTATTTGATTTTCTGGTATTTATTTTATCATAAACCTCTCTGATATGTATTTACTAGTATTTTATAATATTGTTTGTTCACTGGGAGAATACGAATTGAGACTGGGCATTTTGGGTTCCAAGCCTGTAGCCGTACTATGAACTTAGAAAATGCATATTATACAGTATTAAACTTAATTAGTACATCGGTTCCAGTGTTACTCCCCGTAATATATCCTCCTGAGACCCGACCTATTCATTTATGTCCATTGTATTGTACATTGTATTTTTGCATTTATTTTTTCACTGATGTTGGGAAACGTATTTATTCTTGTTGTGCACTAAAGAGGACATGCTGTGAAATTAAAATAAGAATTAATTTGAAAAAATCTAAATTGTAAGATATCTTATTTCCTCCAAAGACAAATAACCTACAATTGAAGGACACTTTTTTCCTTGGGTCTCAGGAGGATATCGAAAATTTAAGTGATTCGTAGTCAAAATTTTAGAAGTGTGGCTGAAATTATTATTTAATACCTTACTATATTTCAGAATTACGAAAATTTTTTAAAACAGTTCGAGCGCTTTGTTTCGTTCTCCTAGTAGGATATTCTCCAAACAGGTGGTACATGTATGACATGTATGTACCGTAAGGTATGCGTAAGGTATGCGTGCATGGACAAGTAACGTTTCCTTAATCTTCATCTCAGTATTGGTCTTGGCTGAACAACATACAAAATTTTGTTTGCTGGAAGCGTTAGACTGAAACAAGTACAAATACTCTGTATTATACTGCAGTTCAGGGGTGAAACGGTGAACTTTGGGAGGGTTGGAATTTTTTGTTGTTTCTTTCTTATGTGAGAATATCTGAGAATACTGCAGTATATTTTACTCTAGCTCCATCTATCCAGGTGCCATTTTTCTAAACACTTCTCCTGTTCAGACTCACAGAGTGTCTGGCGCGTGTCTCCGGTAGCAAAGAGCACTAGACAGGTACAGTATGGATGGAATTCCAGTCCATTACTTGGCACACATATTCATATTTTGCGGGCAATTTAGAGACCCGTGTTTTTGGAACATGGAAGGATCTGGAGGAATCTTGCACGACATTGGGAGACCATGAAAAGCCCACACACCAAAAGATTATGATTAACTTTACTGATCGCAGGAGGGAATTCTGGGAAGCAGCAATGATATCCACTGAGCCACCATGCCTCTTTTTGCTGCAACGCATTTTAAAATAAAGCTTACATGTGCTTTTGCGTAAAATGTCACTTAAAATAAACGCCCCTGTAGTAACCGCTTATATATTTAATGTTTCGTTGATTGCGGAGTTTAGCCCATTTGGCAGGATGTAATCTGGGGTATTCCACGAAGCAGGATTTCTCCGTTAGCTGAGTTAACTTAAGATAGAAGTAATGATCGTCTAGTAAGACTTTAGATAAGGAGCAATCCTATTGGACAAACATGAGTTCTATCTTAAGTTAACCCAGGTAACTGAGAAATCCTGCTTGTGGAATACCACCCTGGTGAGGATGCCAAGCTTTTACATAGTTGTCACATTCATAGGTTCATTAAATTGCGATTTTCTAGGTTCCTCCAAGCTCGCAGATTCGCATACGTTCTGAGGGTCGTGGCTTGTGGCATCACGAGGCTGTGACGTTAGCTTGGAGGCGTGTCTCTCCGCGAAATCCAGGAAGTACTTTCATGTTGGCGCGTGTTGGGGAGAAACAGCGGCGAAACGACGACATGATTTCAAACCCCAAAAAGAAAGAGCGATCCGGCGAATTGGTGTGCTACTTAGATTGTATTTCAGATGTGAAATGCTTCTCTCCAGCATTTTGAGTGTGACAATCAGTTTGTCTCTAGCCAAACTATCATACCTGACGTTTTGCGTATTTATTTCACAGGCTGTTGTATTCTCTGACTTTGTCAGATAGCATGCTAAGTGGGTTACATTGGCTAATTGAATTCTGTTAGTCAAATGCTGCGAATTTATGAAACATAGCATACGATGCATCTCCTTGATTATATAGGTATTACGAGGGAAATATAGACACTGTGGTTTTAGTTGTGCTGACGAGAAAGCCTAAACTGTCTGCCTATTCAACATTAGCAGGTACTCTTGCCTATTTTATTGTATATATTTTTTTAAAAACGTCTGTTTAGCACTGACAAAGAAAATACTGTGGTTCCATCAAACAGTAGTTCACCTAGAATCGGCCTGTGGAAAAAGTGACAGCATGGAAGCGAAAAACACAGCCGATACTTTGGGGAGCGGTTTCCTGTCCAGAATGGCTCTTAATGACAACAAAGCTGGTATGGAGGGATTAGACCGGGACAAAATCAACAAGATTATCATGGAGGCATCCAAGGTAAATGGGGTATAAGTAAAAAAAAAAAAAAATGAAATGAAACTCTTGCAATACTGAGCATGATGCTCAAACTGGATTGCTTCAGTCACAAAATAGCCAACCCTAAATAGGCAACGTAATTTATACTGTACATTATACTTTCACTAAAACCATCTGTTATGCAGCTAATGCAAACCTCATTAATTATTTCGAAAGTCTTTCTGAATATCTTGAGGGTAAACGTGTTTAATACAACAGAAGATAGCATACTGCAGCTGTCAAGATTAATATTTATATATTTATATATGTCGTTCCACATCTTTATTAGTCATACAATCTTGCATAATTTACCCGTTCAGTAGGAATCTTTCTATAAATATTAAATATTTCTAAATCTTGACAAGTGATAAAGGTATGGGAATAGGCGAATGTCACGTGACTGGCGTTGTGCTACAATGTGAACCACACGTAATAAATTATTTGTCTCGCATACTATGTCAAACGCTGTTAAACTTGTCCATCACACTGCCTTACTAGTCCAGTATCAGTGTCACTGCTTTAAATGAAAATATGTGTGCGTAAACACAAATGCTTGGTTTGTGATTAAATAATGGAGTAAAACTTGTCAGAAGGGATTTAAAACAACTCTGAAAACTGACAATAGAACTGTACATTCCTTTGGTTTGTTTTCATTTAACCAAGAGCTAAGATCTTCCTGTTAACTGAAATACCTTGACTAAAAAACACCAAGAATCTGTTTTTGACCAGCTGTTTTTTCACTCTCATCTTGAGTGCATAGGGCACTTCTCTAGCCACTAAGTACGACTACTGCTGCACTGTATCAGAGGATCATTAAGCAGCTATTAAAAGTATCTGTCTTCCAGGGCTCCAAGTTTTATGAAAACGAGCTGAAGAAGGAACAGCAGGTGAACCAGCGCATCGGGAGGATGATGAAGCAGGCGGCTCAGATTACAGAGCAGCAGCTCCAGAGTGCCCAGGCACAGGTGACACATCCTTTAGATTTACAGTGCAAACTTCCAGTCTGCTTCAGATTTATTTATGCTGAAGCTGGTTAATCTCTCATATCTACCCTGGGGTCAAATTGACCCCAAAGGCACACGTCAGGTGACTTTTCTCATAGCGAGAGTTATGGTAGGAGCGTGTAATAGTTGAATGCACGCGGAGGGCTAAGGTGGGCCTGCTAAAAACCTTCAGGTAGACAAGCTGACGGCTGTGCTGGAAAGGGGGCGGGAGTTGGGTCGAGTCATCGTGCATGTGGATATGGACGCGTTCTACGCCGCTGTGGAGATGAGGGATCGCCCTGAGCTGAAGGAGAAACCTATGGCAGTCGGCTCTTGGAGCATGCTGGTAAGCTGCTGCTCCACGCCCAAGTCGCACTGATATTTAAGCAAAATTGAAAGTTTTTAGTCTTGCACTGTGTTTTAACGTTTTATATTGTTCTTGTCGATGTTTTTGTTGTTTTAACATTTTTTTCCTGCGTTGATGTTTTGCTGTCTTTTTCTGATTTTTAGTCAACCTCCAATTATCATGCAAGGAAGTTTGGAGTTCGTGCAGCGATGCCTGGTTTTATAGCTAAAAAGCTTTGCCCAAACCTGATCATTGCCCCCCTGAATTTTGATAAGTACAGAGCAGTGAGCTTAGAGGTACTGTCTTAAAAATAAAAATTATCCCTCAGCCTTGAAACTCATGAGTCTAAGAGGTGTTACAACAAATCACATTTTTAAAGAGATTTCTTCTTTTTTTTTTTTACTGCTGCCTCACCACCCCCACCACCAAGGTACGCGAGATCTTCGCGGAATATGATGAGAACTTTCTGGCCGTGAGTCTGGATGAGGCGTACCTGGACGTCACCGATCACCTGGTGCAGAGACTGAGCTGGCCGGACTCCATGAGGACACACCTCCTGCGCTCAGCAGGTGCTGAGCAGCAAGTGCTGTCTGCCTCGCGGTGATTCTCACTTAGGAGAATGGAGGCTGTGACAGGAGTAGGCGCCGTGCCAGTGGACTGCACTCAGCATTTAGCACTTCAGTGCGTTTTGCTCAAAGTTCACCAGGCAGTGTAAAAGTTGTTTACAAGAGAGTAGGCAATATTTTTATTTCACTCTGTGTTGAAACTAATTTATATTTGTTTTGTTTGCAGTCCTGGATGAAAAATAACACCACCAATAATTAAAATCTTGCCAGAAAAAGCTTGTGTGAAATTTATTTACGTGTCGTGACCTTTTTACCCGTTTGCCATTAACTTTTGATGTTTACCTTTCTTCCTGTTTGCCTCATTTAGCATGGTTGGTGAGTGAACTGGAGAGAGATTATTGTTTTCTATGTAATGTGCCGCTCTTTCTGTGAAGGCGATGGGGAAAGGAAGGAGTCGGTGGAGCAGCCAGCGCCCGATGATCTATCCCCGGTTCTGTTTGAGGACAGTCCCACTGCATCAGCCAGCCCCTGTGACGCAGTAGGCGCAGTCGTGTTTGGGACGAGCGCCGAAGAGGCGGTGCGAGAGATGCGCTTCCGGATCGAGCAGAAGACGGCACTGACAGCCAGTGCAGGTGAGACTGTGCTACCCTCTCCTGGTCAGTCAGACCCTTATTTGCCTTATTTGGGGAGTGCATACTTTTTACTGCTTGGAGGGGGGACTGGAGCCTATCCCAAGAGGCATATGGCACCAGGCAGGGGTACACCCCAGAAGGGATGTCAGTCCATCACTGGGCTCACACACTGACAAAACCCTACACTGTGGGAAATTTAGAGACGCTAATTAGCCTAGCTGCATGTCTTTGGACTCGGGGAAGAAATCAGACCCGGATGAAGCTGGTGTGATGCAGAGAGAACTTGCACCCTATGTACACAGAGCAGAGGTGGGATTCGAACCCTGGTCCTGGAGGTGTGAGGCAACAGTGCTGGCCAACATGCCGCCCTTGTTTCTTTTTTCTTTTAAGGCATTGCCCCAAATATGATGCTGGCAAAGGTTTGCAGTGACAAGAACAAACCAAACGGCCAGTACAGGATCCCAGCCGAGCGGCAGACAGTGATGGACTTCATCCAGGATCTCCCCATTCGCAAGGTGGGACTCTATCAACAGCAGGATGGCTGAAGGAAAGCGGGGCTGGGATCAGACCTGAGACCCTGCACATGTTGTCACAAGACTTGGATTAAACTATTATACTAAAAGAAATGGGCCAGAATTGATTGAAGTCAGTTGGAAAGATTGATACATTTTAATAAATAGTTGGAGAAGTGACTTCTGTTCAAAATATTGAATTTTTGATTGAAGTTAGCAGTAACTAAATATGTACATAGGTTTTGCCAAAGATTTTGAACAGGTAATGCTGTGTTACGCAGTTATGCATTAAGAATCTTTATATACTTTATTTGCTTCTGTTTAATCGTGCTGCCTTTATTAGAACATGCCTGAAAATCTAATACAGTTCTTGACATACACTGCTAAAATGTCGATCAAAGGAAAGCTTCTTAAGGGTGTTCTACATAAAGCTGCATTATTATCATGGGTGCACATAACTGGTACGCAAGTACGCATTCACCTTTAAGAACGATACGTGCGACAATCGATTGTTTGTAAAAGCGCAAATGCGTACTTATGTGCATTTGCACTGCTATGAAAACAAAATATAATGTGTTTTAATCTTATAATATATGCTAACTCGACTTAATTTGCAGTATACGTGTTAAAATGCATGGTATTGTCATAGCAGCACAAATGCACATAAAATAAGTACGCATTTGCGCTTTTACAAACAATCGATTGTCGCACGTATCGTTCTTAAAGGTGAATGCGTACTTGCGTACCAGTTATGTGCACCCATGATTATTTATTTATTTATTTTGTTGCAGGTGCCAGGTATTGGAAAGGTGACTGAGAAGATGCTGAGTTCTCTGGGAATCACCACCTGTGCCGAGCTCCGTCAGAAGGGGGCGCTGCTCTCCCTGCTTTTCTCTGAAACTTCCTGGCATCATTTCCTGCAGATCTCATTAGGCTTGGGATCCACAAATGTGGAAAGGTACTTTATATGGTTTGTAAATTTAGTACATTATTTGTTAGACACCACAGTGCTGCAGTCTGGTAAACACCATTATTCTCTGCTCTCATTCATTTCAAAGCTACTGTCAAGTCTGCATGTGGTCCAATGGAATATTCTTCTGTCTCTTTCCTGAAAATATAAATATTTTCACATGTTCATCAAGAGGTGTGTCCAATGTTTTTCGACCGGAAAGTGAAATATGTCCAATCCATAGAGATTCTCATACTAAAACATTTTACTTCTGAAGTTTCCTGACAGTTTAGGAAAGTTTCCTGTTGTCCATAGGAAACTGTTGCATGATTGCTGGCTGCTGCCAATGTTATAATCACTTGTTCAGCCAAGTTAGATAGCAAGGCCAATGTGAGAAATTGCATGTGCTCTAGATGCAATAGGCCTCGTATACTTGACTTGCAATAATAATGATCAAATTGTCACTAAAATAACTGACATCCAGTAATTGCAGTTTTCCATGGAGTATCATTTAAAGATTCCTTTAGGTATTGAAGTTCACACTGAATACAGCTTAATATCTCAAAACAGAGAGAATTACTTTCCCTGCCATCTTGGTGTAACATTTATACTGTAGTTGTTTACAATTGCTGTAGATGCCTTTTGCCGTCCACAAGCAGTTTTAGTACTCTCTTGCCTATCCACTCCCCCTTGCCCTTCTGCTTTGTCCAAACACCACCCCCCAAGCTGCAAATTAGTCAAACATTAATCAGACACCAAGCACCACTCCCACAACATTTACAAATCTGTTTTTGAATAGGTCACTTGTGAAAATTGCACATTAATTTGCTCTTACTATTACGCGTTACTAGACTTCACTCTGCAGATTGCAGTAGGGAAATATGATTGCCAACGTAGTGAGAGAGGCAGATAAGGTAATTGGTATCTTACACCCCCATTTGTATTGTCTTTCTAAGTTCTATACAGATTTAGGGGCTAAACCCCTTTCAAATTTTCCCTTCCAGGGATGGTGAAAGAAAAAGCATGAGCACAGAAAGGTAAATGTGTATTTTATTTTTCTTTGATTTTCAGAGAATAAACAGCAACCACTGAAAATAAGTTATATTTTAATCCGAAACCCTGTGGTAAATATAAATATTTACATTGACAAAAACGTTCAGATTATTGCCATGAAATTGACTGAGACATTTCAACTGCACTGTTCCTGTCCAATAAATATTATGTATTTTGCAGTTTTGCACATTTTCATCAGATTTTCCGGCTTAGTATTAACATTTAGAGGGAAGGTAACATACATTTCCGATATGAAAAGGTCATCGTCATTTCTGATGAGACCCAAACCCAAATGTATCTACAAGGAGAAGTTCACTGGGGTCCCGCAGAGACAGTGACCCAAAGAACACTAGTGAGTGTACATTGGAATGGGTGGAGCACAAGTGTTTTCATCTGGCTGGCCTTTCGTATCCATATAAAACATACATTTCCTTATGATTTAGTTTCTTAGCATAGAGTAGCAGAGACCTGTATCATAAAGCTGGATAGCTTGTCAGATTTAAAGTATCCCAGATTAAATGGACTTCATCCTCATTCACTTACGTTTGCCATAGACTACTTTGAATCCAACTAACAAGAATTTCTTCTGTTCTCCAAAAACATGAAATCTTGTTGGATGACTAGAAGATCACTGCTTCGGCTCCCAAACCTCTGCTCAGGGGATCCCAGCCATTCTATGTCTTTGTTAAATTTCACCACCAGCCATCTTAATTAATTCATTTACAAAGTCAGTGAGGTATTGATTAGTGATACGAGGTGCAGTAGGGGTTGAGGTAAAACGTACATGTTTGTATTAGATGGTTGCTGTAAATATTGTTGTGCCTGTACATTTGACATAGTTTTACAGTGTGTTCCCACATACATAAGGGTAAGATGATTTTCGGCATATCCTCAGGACATTTTTTTTTAGAAATGTCTTTGTGCTCTGATTTCACTCCTACAGAATACTTGTAGGAGTTTTACTTTTGTCCATTTTTTGCTTTTCCCCTGTTGTTTTATTTCCTGATCTTCTAATATCTTCTAGGAGATTAAATATTTTGAGATTACTGGAAGACCCTGCTGTAAATTCCATTCTGGATGAGTGATAAAGCTTCTGAAATTAAATATAGGGTTATTTTGTAGGAAAACATCATCTGTGCTGTTTTTCTGTTTATCTCTTTTCCCTCCTTATCTGGGTGTTTCAATATTGCCCCCTACAGGACATTTGCTGAAATGAGCGATGCAGAGGAACAGTACGGTTTATGTCGTGGACTCTGTAGAGACCTGTCCCAGGAGCTGCAGAAGGAGGGCCTAAAGGTAGAGTGCTGCCTCTTGTGTTGTTTTATTTAATATCATCAGATATTACATGAAACAATGTTAGATAATTTCTGTTACATATTTTTTGCCTTATTCTACTTATTTGCCCTAGTTTCTTTGTGTTTAGATTTTTAGTTGTTTAATTGATGTTTAATTTGCTTATGTCATGACACCACCTGCTTAAAAAGAAATTCCTTGTACTTCTCTGTACTTGGTGAATAAAAAAAGATTCAGATTCAGATATTTCATAGTGTTTGTTTGCCTCCTTTTTTTTGCAACAGGGCAGGAGAAAATGCTCATGAGAACAGTCATTAATATGGTTGCCACCTCATGTCACTATCCTACAAAGCCTTAGTATTACCAGCGCTTTGTCAGATCTATAAGTATTTTTCAATATTCATTAGCGATATGCTAAACAAATGAGATTAACCTCATGCACAGAACAGTGATCAAGCCAGTGTTATTCTCTCTGTCAGTTTGTTCTCTAATCCAGTCTTTCCAAACCCAGTCCTCAGGGGAACCGCAGTCAGTCCATATTTTTGCTCCCTCCCAGCTCCCAGCCAATCAGGAACACCGAATACCTGGTACAGGTGCACTGGGAGCTGAGAGGAAGCAAAAACGTGGACTGTCCGGGGTTCCCCGAGGACTGGGTTGGGAAACTCTGCTCTAATCAATACATGGAATGAACCTCATGCATCTTTCAAACACAGGCCTTTCATGCGCATTGGTCGTATTGGCTGGTTCTCACTCCAGTTTCCATCTCATAAGTAGGCCTTTTTGATGCTGGATTCAAGTACTTTAGCATTAAAGGACAAATATTGGTGAGAGGAACATGCTACACTGCAGTGACCCTGTATGCTGGTGTAATGGGTGAAACAACAGCGGCCTTATTACTTATCGCTTTTATGCTTCCTTCTTTTTTAGGGCAAAACTGTGACCGTGAAGTTGAAGAATGTTAACTTTGAGGTGAAGACCAGAGCTTTGACCCTGTCATCCGTGGTATCCACAGAGGAGGAGATCTTTGCTGCCGCTAAGGATCTCCTGAAGGCTGAGATTGACCATGTTAGCCCCCATCCTCTCAAGCTGAGGCTTATGGGTAAATTCACTTTGTTTACTCAATGGGCATTATGCTGGGTGAGTCCCATACATCGTTAAATACCCTGTAAATGGGGCAGCAGTTTCTTATGAGTCTTTCCCCCCCCCCCTCCCTCCCATAGGTGTTCGGCTGTCTGGGTTTGTCAGCACAGATGACAAGAAACCCCTTCAGAAGAGCATCATCGGCTTTCTGCGTACAGGCCAGTCAGAATCGGGAGGAGCTACTCAACACATAAGCCTTGAACACGGGGTCACTAATGTCAGTCCAGAGAAGTCTTCCAACCTGATGCACCCAGACGCACTGTGCAATCGACCGGCAGCCAATCTTCGTTTGGCTGAGCAGCTCAGTACTGGCCAGACGAATCAGGAAGTTTCAAAGCCAGAGTCGGGACCTAAGAGAAACCCGGAGTCTTTCTTCCAGAGGGCACACAGGCTCCGGCTACAGGCCAATCAGCAGGAATTCCCAGGCGTTAGTGATACTGGTCACGTCTTACTGAATCCAGTAAGGACAGAGTGCTTCACGTGTCCTGTGTGCTTTAGGGAGCAGGAAAGCATGGACCTGGAGATGTTTAACAGACATGTGGACAAGTGCCTTAGTGGGTCCTCCAACGCACCCGAGGAGAAAGGTGGCAGTGTAGACGCAGTGGGGGACTGTGTGGAAGGAGAAGGGAGCTGGCAGGTACATCTGAGTAATGCAAGCCAAGACGTCACTGATCAAAGGAAGGGCAGCAGCAAACCCCATGGAGCCTCGGGGCCGAACAGCACGCATCCGCAAGCCAATGTAGACAGACAGCCTGTGGGGCCCGCTGCCCCTAGTGGACGGCTATTTAAACGAACAGAAAAAAGGGAACCCAGCCTCTGTGTTCCTGGACCTTCGGGTTCTGGCTTCCAGGATCCAAGCAGGCGTGCCGCCGCTTCTCACACCATTGTTACTGAGGCTCATGGTTGCCATGGAGATGACAGGAAAAGCACATCTGTTGGAGAGACTCCTGCTGAGGCAGCGCGTTTGGATCCCCGAAACCCGAATCTCGTCTGCCCTGTCTGCAGCGTGCCGCAAGATACCACCGACCTCGTCGTCTTTAACCGTCACGTGGACGTTTGTCTCAGCCAGGGTATCCTGCAGGAGCTTGGCCAACACGTAACAGTGAGCAAACCCAGCAATCCATCATGCACCAGAGTCAAAGGTCAGCATCTCCCCTTAGATCAATATTTTAATTTTCCACAATGATCTTGCTTGTTGGTTCATACACATTTTCTCTGAAGTTAAAACGAGTCAAGATTCTCAGAGGCTTTGCTAGGCAACAGAAAATCAATAAATCCCCTTGGAATAGGCAAATGAAGATAAAAGTATCAGTTTATTATCAAAGGTTGTATTGATTTCCGTATGTCAATGGTAAAATTTTTGTTCTGTACAGTAGAGTTTTAATAAATACAAAATGAAACTTCACTTTTTAAATTTACCAGCAGGGGGTGCTTCTCCTATTTGTTTAAATTTTTTAACCTTTTTTGTACTTATTATTTATTGCAAATTAAAATGCAGCTAGGTTGCTTTATTTAATCAGCAGGTTAGACAGTGAAAAGTGTGGGAAAGCAAGGGAGGCTTTTCCAGAGAATCACAAACTTTATTTTAATTGAAATTCAGGATTTTCCAGAGAATTCCCAAGATCTGACAGCACATCAAGAGCTTCTGACTCAAGAGGCAAACACAAACGGTAAGGCATGTTTATCTCATAAGCATTTATTTGCGGTTTTATGTAAAAGAGTGGATTCCTTTTTTTGCATCATACCTGAATATGCGGCCTTGTCCAGGTCTAAGGATTCATTTTGTTTTTATACTAAATCAAATACTCCAGCAGACCATGTGGTCAAAGTCCAATACTGGTGTTTCACATACTGTATGTTACATCAGTGAATGTCTGCAGAGGTTTCTCTTAACACTTGGTTACTTAGCAGTTGGAGATACATTGATGCGCTTTGCCCATTCTCTGTCCTCCTCCTAGGGAGGGGTCACCGCCCCCACCTGCTCCCCATAAGAGAGCCAAAGCTGTGGGTTCCCTGAACACTATTGACAAGTTTTTCAGGTAAAGTTTGTGGGAAAACAGCAATTGGAAAATCAACAGGATACTCAGTGCCCATCGGCCTACATCCTGGACTCGACATACCGTATCATTCAGGGAAGCGGCATATGTAGACATGTTGGATTCTCACCTAATTTAACTATCAAACCGCGGCAATGACTTTCTTTTCCACTGTGCAATGAGAAATGAACTATTGACAGTTCAAATGTACACTAGATCACTTTATGACATTATTTATTCTCTTAAAAATTATCATTATTATTATTATTGGTACAAAATCAAAGTTATGTATTTCGTATCAAACTAAAATTTTATATACAGTAGCAGGTTAGACAGAATGTTTTGCTAAGGAATTGTGTTTGCAATAAGTTGTGAGATAATGAAGCAAGCTTTCATGGTGCTTGGGTAGGAATGATACTTGTGCTGACCTGTGCACTGCAGCTTTACCTTGGTAGTCTTGCTGTATCTTGGTTTATGAAATGAAATGAGGGATGCTGTCTTAGTTCTGTGCTTTTCTCTTGAAGGATTCAGTATCATTTCATGTCTTATTAATGCTGTAGTATTTTGAATGCCTAGGTTTTAGATATGTGTACTTTTATTGCAGTGAAATATGTTATTGCAGTAAAAATAAAAAATGGGTAAACCTGCTTTCTGTGAAATGTATTCAATAAAAACACATGACTCCAATAAAAATGAAATGTATGTAAAAATTCTTTATGTGCCAGATGTATAACTCTTGAGTACATCAGTAAAGTACATATTGCAATGTGATTTACGAAATAGTTTATATATTAACAGTTAAGCAATCAGCCAGAGTACTGGCCAAATTTGTTTACTATGTTGTAATTCACATAAATACTGTTATCTTGTTGTCACTTTGTAATGAGGATGCATTTGCCATTAATATGGTTGCAAGTGGTTAGTTTTTATGGTGTGTATGATGACCTGGGGATAAACAAAATTAATTATAACTTTGGAAGCATTTCATGCATTATTTGAATTAAAAATTTCAGAATGTAAGTGAGTAAAACACCCCACATTTCCCCCTCACCTGTACTTCAGAGCCAAATTATGTAGTCGGTCAAGGAACAAGTTTCACAAGGGTGTGGGCAAGTAATTATCTGGTTGCCTCTAAAATCAACAAAGGACTCCTTACATTCCCTTTACATCTAAGAAGCCACAGAGTGGGGTGCTTGGAGTGAGTCACAATGGACAAAGCTTTGGCTTTCAAAGATCGAATTCTGAACAAGGAAAACCTGAATCCCAAAACCTGGATGAAAACAGAGAATATTAAAGGTTTTAAAGACTTTATACTGCAGAAAGAATCAGAAGAGACAGATGGACGATATTTTGATGATGAAAATATGCGTAAGTACATATGCAATTCAAGCATAATATGTATAAAACCAATTAGCATCTGTTTTCTCTCTACCAAGTTTTCTTGCATAATTGAATACAGTACTCTAGCTGTGCACATTAACCGAATATATAGAAACATAAAGGCATATTTTATTTCAGTGTTACTGCAGATGAATGTACGTTGTGAGAAGTACGAACATGACATTATTTAATAAATAATGTCTTTTAAGATGGCACACCCATGAGGTGTGACAAGAATTCCTGCTTTATAAGGACATCAGTGTTTGTCCAAGGCTGACCCTGCAGCACGAGCGGCTTCTGCTCCGCTGCTCATTTTATATCCTCTGCATGAAAGTCTTGTGTGTGGCTTTTAGAATACAATAGTAATAAACAATATGCCATAATTTTATAATGAGTTTGTTGATCTATACCGTACAATGACAAAAGCTTGTAAAATATTTAATTCTTATTTTACCAAGTATTTGAACATTATACTTTTATGAAAGAATACCCTGGCATTGCTAAATGGTTTCAGCAGAACGTAGCTCATTCCTAATGTTAATCATTAGCGTTACAGTTCAGGAACATGTTGCAGCCTTTTTTGATGGGTTGAGTGTAGGTATAGACATTTTCATATAATGTTGCCAAATGAGGCTGGTCACATTGTATAAAACATTCTTGCTCAATCCTGTGTTTATGACAAGTGTACCGTCTAATGTTAGTTACTTGCTTAACACGGGGAGTATTTTATTGACATTCACCTTTATCTCCCTAGTTTAGCTTCACTCTGATAACAGGTCAAGAGTATTATGTGATGTCTTTTCATGTGCACCTGGGCAGTGCTGGAATCTGAAAAGTATTATATGGAAGCTGCAAAGAAGAATGATGTAGACACAATGAAGCTCCTTGGCAAGAGTGTCAACGTCAATGCAAAGAATGTGGTGAGTTTCCCCCATAGGTCTGAGAAGTACAGTGTTAGTGTGAGCAACGAAGGCATTCATAGTGCTGGTGCAAGAAGAGTAAAGGATTGCATGTTACCTCAGCATGATCGAACCGCACTACACTACGCCGTGGCTGGGAGAAACCAGGAAGCGGTGGAACTCTTGCTTCAGAGAAGAGCCAAGTTAGATGTACAAGACAAGGTGAGGGCCATGTTGGTTTGAGATATCTCTCAGAAGCCCTCATGAACAGCAATGTAATATATCTTATAATGAAGTATATGCAGTTGGCAAATTCTGTTCAATGGAATAACTTTGGGTTGAGGTCCTGGAGGTTGTATTAGCTGATTTTGATTACTGATGGGGTAACAACCCCCCCCCCCCATCCCCCCATAATTTACGCCCATTTCTGAATTGGTGAATTGGTTTTAATGCCCCTTTCGAGATACTGTGGACAAAAGTCTTTATAGACCACAAAGACCTATTTGTCCTTTCCTACTATTCAATTTCTGCAAAGACAGGGAATGATTTGGTATTCATTCCTAACAGCATGGAGTGACCGCAGCTCACCTGGCTGCCTGGTTTGGGAGTCTGGCTATCCTTAAGCTGCTGATACAGGCTGGGGCTGACCAGAAAATTGAGAACCAGGTGCAACCGCTGAGCTGAATTCCCCAATGCACAACATGCCTTTATTTCACAAAAAACAAAGCTCATATCATGCACACTATATACATTTAATTCAACCCTAGTGCCACCTGGAGAAGTCTTAAATGTTCAATGCAGGATAGGCCCTCTTAAGATATCATGCCAAAATATGTCATTGAAAACATTTGAATCTTCTAGTGTTTGATTCTGCTGTTCAACTGTGTCCCTAGGAAGGAATGACCATTATGCATTGTGCTGCCATCAATAATCACACCGACATTGTGACATACATTGTAAATGACTTGCAGATGAAAGAACTGGATAAAGAGGACCAGGTAAATTGCTCTTACATGTTTAGGTGCAGGGTAGAAGTTAGACATTTCTCCATAATAATTAGGCTTCTTGTTCAGCATTGAGTTCAAATGACCCTACAGTAATACTGCCCTTGTGCAACATAATGATCTTGTTTCTTTATGAAACTCTAACAGTCAGAGACCTTTTCTAAGGGCCCTTATTTTTGAAAACCCAGACACTCACTTGATCCTCTCAGTGGCAGCCTGTTGTACTGGGTGTGATGGTGCACCCTGGAGTGAAGAGACCTACAGCGCCAGCCTTGTTCTCGTCTCTCAGTCAGGGAAGCTGGCTTTCTCCCGGGCAGCTGAGCATGGCTGCGTGCCCATGATGGAGCTGCTGCTGGAGGAGCCGTTCAGTATGGCCACCATGCAGGAAGATCAGGTTCATCCATCCCACCCAAGGGATTAAGGGTCTTTTTAAGCTTGTTTAAAAATCCAGCTTACTGTTTTCTTGTTCTGATACTGCTGCTAGTACTGCAATAGCTGTCTGATATTCCTACAATAGCACATTTCATGCATATTGCAAAACTTGCCTAGGCTATACTGTACAGTCTGAAAAATTTGCTTAATCCAAATGAAATTTTGAAGAAAGGAGACTTACAGAAAGGTTCAGCCATCCATGGTACAGAAAAAGTATCATGAAAATGTTTTTCTTTAAAGAATTTAAGGATTATGAATACTGCTATTATTTTTATGAAGCTGAAAGCTATTCTATTATGGCTACTAATAGCACTTTAGCTAATGCCATTACAGCTATAAAAAGTTTATCTTTATTGTCAGTGAAAAGTTCTATTATAATTATATTACATTTTTGTTAGTCTTTTTGGTAACACTTCACTTTAGGGGGCACAAGTAACTAAGTAACTCAGTAACTACTCAACTACTCACGTACAAATCATGAACAAAGTGCATGAAATACATCAACTGTTATGATTGATTAATGATAAACAAACATGGGATCAGCACATAACTAACAGTTTCTGGTTAATTCATAGAACGGCAACACCCCTTTGCACCTTGCAGCTAAAAATGGACACCTGAATGCTACTCAGCTCCTACTTCAGAATTTTGACAACCGCAATGAGGTCAATAAGGTAGGGTCACTGCATTGGCAGTATTGCCAGCTGTGCTAGTACCATCATTCTCCTGGCCTTTCATTCAGTTGCTAAGACAGATCCTCAAAAAAAACATTTTTAATGTAACATATTTGGTGCGTTACATTCTAGGTAAGTTATGTTCCTCAGAGGAGGAAGCTGCCTTGTGTTTGTTATTGCATTTGTTTGAACACCTTAGTTTGTTCATGGGTCACTGACCACACCCATTCCTTCTAGGCAGGAGAGACGTCACTGTTCCTGGCTGCAAACAGTGCTTATGAGGACTGTGTCCAAGCACTGTTAGAAGCTGACTGTGACCCTAATATCGTCACTGCAGTATGTGGTACTTTCTTACAGACCCTTCGGTCTTCTCAGGGTAACAGTTTACTAGCAAATGGAATCTTGGGATGAGTTCTAGCTTAAGACATAGTATGTTCATGATAAAATAAGGTATAAATCTAGCACCTGAAAAGTGCCTTTTTCACTGTGATTAGAAATAAGTAATAAATCTTCTTTACCATTGTACCAACTTGTAACAGAATAAGCTGATGGTGAAATATGTTTGATGTGTTGTTTTTTTCTGTGCAATCGCACTGTTTATGACACCTGGTTCCCCCGAGGACAAGAAAAATGGAAACTAGTGATACTGAACTGCTTCTTAAATTAAGTTCCATGGCTTCCAGCAGTAAAACTTAGGAAGAGAGCATGATGGTGTTAATTACGAGTGCCTGTGTGGTGATAGAGCATCAAATCTTATGGAATAAATGGAGCAGAACTACCTCTCAATTGTGCTTCACAAAGCATTAAGATCTGCAGCAGATGCTCTGTATGTTACTGATATGGCTCTTTGCAACTTGTTCAAAGAGAAAAAGCATTTTATAGGGCTGTGTAGCTGTCTTTCATCAAAGCCCCAGTGTGAATCATATAATGCTAGCTTGAATGAGACTGACTGTTCTTGCTAGGCTAAGAATGCAGCCTTACATCCCGTGGCAGAAAAGGGGTACACCTCCCTGGTCAAGCTCCTCACTGATAATGGTGCCAACATGAATTTGCAGAATCAGGTGAGGAAGTCTAGGAAATGTGTGAAAGAATGTGTTGTTAATTTCACCTTCATTAAAAGCCACAGTGTAGCTGAACTAACCGTCTATCCATTCTCCTTTGGTCGACACAAGAAACGCTATTAGTATCTCTGTGAAAAGAGTCGCTGTTAACCTAAACTGCTAATACGTTTCAATCTTCTTTTCAGCATCTACAGGCTCCCTTTCACCTGGCAGTGAAGAACTGCCATATTCCGGTCATCCACGCACTTCTGAAGGCCGGCTGTGACACCGACGTCACCGATCATGTGTGTAACATCACAGTGAAATCCACAGGGAACACTCTGCTCCCTCAGAAGCTTGAAAGAAGATGTTCAGCTGTCGATTTTTGTTTTCTCAGACAGAAACTGGAGTTTTCCTTGGTGTTAGATTTCGCCCTCTGCCTGTATCGCCACTATGTTGCATTATGTTTCAGTTATTTCCGGAAATATGTAAATCTTTACTCGGATCCTATCTTTAGGTTACCAAATGGGCAGGAGACATTTCCTTGTTTTTTCTTTAGAGGGGACAAACTGCACTTCATATTGCCGCAGAGCTGGGAAAGGCTGATGTTGTGGAAATGATTCTGAAAGCTGATACAGACCTATCTCTCCGGGACAAGGTAATCAGAACTACTGACATATAGACAATCGGTCCCTTGTTCTAAACAACCTCATAGATCTTTATCAGAACTGCAGATTATTTGCAGACAAATCCCCGGGTGCCTGTCATCAGTATTCATTAAATGCTCAAAGCACGATGGAAGATGCCAGGTGATTGACGTCTCTGACAGTAACAGACACAGGAAATAATTTGTTTAATGTGGAACAAGCAGCTGTTGATCACATTGACAACTGAAGGGAACAAAGAACACCTCAAAAATACAGCGTCGATTCACAGTGACCAAGGCTTGGATTGTCTTGCCAAAGAAATAAGTCTGAGCCTTAGAGTGTTAATGTTCACCTGACATCATTATTCTCCTTCCCAGAATGAAGGAAATGGTTCTGCATATGAAATGATACAGATTTCATACTGGTTTCTGTGTGTCAGAAATTGTGCAGTGGTTGTTTAAAAAGTCTGCATTTAAAGTAGGTTCTTTATAATCCTTATAAGCCAGTCTGGGACTGGGCTTTAAAATTCAGTAAAAATTCAAAATGTATTTTCTTAAAATATTAAGCATTTTTGGGTGTCATTAAACTTTAATGACCCCTGCTGAACATGAGTTAGTTTAATATATGCACAATTTCATGCTTTTCATTATACATTTTTTCTAAACTTGTGCCATCTGCTGGACAAAATTGTAACAACAATGTTCAAATTCAGAGGCAGAGCACCTTAAAAATTGAAAAATAAGTATATAATGCTGCTGATTTGACTTTGAAGTAACAGAAACATGAAATAATTTATTGTCAGTCGCAGTTTTCCAGAGAATTTTGCTGAGAACATCTATAGCCAAAGTAAAAAGTGAGGCTGCCACTATTTGCGGCTGCTTACCTGATAATACTTCACAGGCCAATCTGCTGGCAAATGTGTTTCTGACTCTCTCTCCATTTGTGCAGCAAGAAAAGACACCACTGGGAGTGGCAGCCAGAGGCAACATGGTCATCATTGTGGATATGATCATTAAAGCAGAAAGATATTTTGCATGGAAAAAGGTGAGCTAGTGTGATACACTCAGCTCTTACTATAAAACAGTATCTCCCAGTCTGGTCTGACCCACAGACAGTCCACGTTTTTACCAGGAGCTGGGAGGGAGCAAAAACATGGACCAACTGTCGGTCCGCAAGGACCGGACTGGGAAACATGGCTCTAAAGTGATTTCTCAAGAAATACGAGGCAAGGTGGCCAAACCTGAATCCAGGGGACTCCCTGTTTAGCATAATATTTGTTCCAGCCAACCTGTGAAGTAAGCGTGATTGGAGCAGTATGGACCCAAGAACAATTACTGCTGTGCAACATTAGCCACCTTTGGCAGGGAAGCCCAAGAAATGGAAACTGACTTGCCTCCTCCAGGGGCTATAGACAGCTGGCTTCCTGTTCCTCATTATCACTGTGTTGTGATGCCTATTATTGGCTGGCACCTACATCGATTATTCAGGCAAATAGCTTCCCTGCATGTGTGTTATATTACTCAATGGGGACCATGACTATAGGATAATAGCTGTCTTTCTCTCTTTGATCCTTCAATCCATTGCCTAATGGTGGTTCCCCTTGGTGGTAATTATAATAATGATAGTTGTTATTATTGCTGTTGCATTTACTAGATGTGCAGTTAGGCAAACCGGAATCTCTGAATTGCCTGTAGTGTGTGATGTGTTGCTGTTTGTGGCCTGTGATGGTCTAGCATCATATGTCAGGTATTCTTCAGTCTTTTGCTTGGATTTCCTCCAGGTCCTTGGGATCCTGTGCTGGATCAATGAAGAATGATAATGATTATTAATTATGTTTTTGAAAAGGTCACTGATACCTAGTAATGTCTTTGTGTGGCCTGCCTAAGCCTTCAGTTTCACTGCTTGGCTACAGGATGGGTGCCCTTTCTCAGGAAGTGACTAGATTTGATTACCCTTTCAGGCAAATGTGGAATTTAATGAAACCCTTCACAACGACTTTCCACTGACATTCAAATTAGACCACAGTGCAGAGACCAAGCAGATCCGTGCTACCATCTGGAACTTGGCCTACAACCTGCTGAAGCCCAATGACTGGAAGAAACTTGCACAGCACTGGGATTTCACTGGCCCACAGATTGCAGCCATAGAAGAGCAGTGGACAGGTGACATATCACATGAGCTTTCCATCCCCCTTTAAGGGATAAGGCAAAGTATTCAAAGAAATATTCAGTTTTAGGAGAGGGGAAATTAAATATGTCCATCTTGTCAAAAAAATAAATAAGTAAAATCTGTGTCCCATAAATTGTCATTCCCTTACAACTCTCTATCCTACCTGGCTTCTGCTGAGCCTCACCTGTTCCTGATATGTACCTGAGAGCAGGCATGACTCTTCAGAAGCCAGGTAGGATAGAAAACCTACTGGATCAACCACAAATAACAGTTTCTCACACACAAAAACCACTATGAACCATAAACCTACTGGATCAACCACAAAATTAAAAGTTGTGAGATTGATTTTCAGATACACTCTGGCTCAAATGTTTCATCTAAAGTCTTTTTCTGTGATTCAATCTTGGTAACATTCTTATGCACATCACCAGGCTTGAAGAGCTACCAGGAACATGGCAACCGGATGATGTTGATTTGGCTACATGGAGTCTGTATGGCAGGCAAGAATGCAACCATAGAGCTTCATGAGAGTCTACTTTCTACAGGATACACTAGTATCGCAGGTACACTGGCTGGTATTCATACTGACATTTCGTTGGTTTGTTTTTTTGGTTTTTTTTTGGGGGGGGGGGCTCACTCACAATTTGTGCTTAGTTTAATTTACAGTCTATATTACTAATGATACCTTGTTAATCCCTGTGGGGGGATTCTCTTTTTGCCTACCCCTTTCTGCTCTCCATGAGATACACATCAGCACAGGGTTTGCCACCTGTGGTGCCCCTACAATCTTGTGCAAGGGCCCACAGACATGTGACTATTCTGCTGATGCTGGAGTCAAACCAGCAGCCTTCCGCTCACAGACACAGAAGCTTAGCCCACTGAGCATCACCCCGCCCCCTGCATTACCTCTATTACAACTATTTGGAAATTTTTAAAATCCTTTTTTTAACTGCCTTGTTCTTTGTGGACAATGTTGAAAAATTAAAGTAAAAAAAATTAATCTCAAACCTGAAAAAAAAAATTGTTTTGGAGAGGGTCAGTGACAAACAGGGACACTCCTGCCATCTCCAATGAAATCGCTCTTGCTGACCAGTGCTTTACTGAAACAGGACATGTAAACAAGAACAAAACCTACATTCTGGCAAGAGACCCATCATGGTTAACAGTTGCTCTTATACCAGTGTACAGATCATAAGGATCATTTATGGACTTCGCAGGAAAAGAGCGTCGTTCCTAAATGAAAAATTATCACTGTTGAGAAATGTTGACTTGTGATCAATATGTGAACTGGGAAAATATTCATCTTTTCACTGCTGGTCAGGGCCAATGAACGAGCTTTGTAATGATTTAAGTTGTGAACTGTGAACAGTTTTGAGCACTTATCTTTTGCTTTAATTCCCACTGTGTCTACCATCTTCCTCGTAACTATTTTCATGACATGACATGGTGTCAGTTGGTCATATTTCATGCATGCTTAGTGGTTTATATACTTATGTTTTATCGTCCAGCACAAATTTTCATAACTTGCAGGTTACTTGTCCATTAACATAAATAGTGTGTTGACTGAGTTACGTTATGTTTTCTGTATTAGATCATTCCAGTTTGGCGTTGTCTATGTAAATCATGTGTCTTTTTTTACAGACAAAATTAGAGCAGACACAAATGGGAAGGAGATGAGAAAATGTTCAGTCTCGTAACGTCAACAACATATGACAGCACAGACCACATGATGCCGACACCAGTCATTTGGGATTTTCTGGATTTGCTTCAATAGCAGCATTTGTTTTTCAGGGAAAATATCTTATCATTAAAATATGCAAAACAGTAAGTAGGTGTACTTCTCTTGGAATTGTGTAGGTGTACAATCTGTCCTTGGAGAAAATGATCAGTGGAACAGAAAAATGAATTTTATTATCCTACCACTTTTTAATTAGCCTTACTGTAGACAGACAAACCTATTACATGCATCATCAATGGAAAAGGACATATGAGGAGATGTGAAGTTCTAATACTTGCCATACAACAATCAATTAGCTTTTGACGTTCATTTTTAATTAGGTTACTATTGAAAGGATACCATTATCAGCCTAATTGTGATTCTGATCCCTCTTAATGAAGAGAAACTACAGGAACTTGGTTTTGTGAAAGACCGTCCAGCTATCCTTTGCAGCCACCAAAAAGCTCTGTTTATAGCATTTGTTTATAATCAGGTTTGAGATTAATTATTACAGTCAGCAAATTGGACAAAAGTCCAACTGCCTTCTATGCAGCTGGCTGAGAACCTGGATTTAATACGTCAGTTGGCAGAAGTGGACACTGAAGACTCCAGCCTTCACCTGCGATACTCTCCCCCCATCAATGGTGCACCCCTAACCCACCATTCAATTCTATGTTTGTCATTATAAGAACAATATTAAGAAGATACTTGTGTACTAGCGATGTAGTAAGTTACTACCTCAGTATTTTTTATGTTTCACTCCATAGCCTCATCTCTGATGAAGTGTGAGAAAAAATGTGCCTGTTGTGAAATTGCCAGCAGGAATGAAATTAAGTAGTAAGAGAAGAAGAAACAGCTCTTCTAGTTTAAACTGTATTTCTGAACCATTATAAAGTATGGTTGTATACATTTTTTATGATTTGCCTCACACAACTCCTTTATCTGTAAGCATAGCGGTGGCAATGCCATCCATAATCATGCAGCAGACATGTCTGACGGACAATGGCTGATGTAGAATATGTGATACAGTAAAATCCCCTTATAACGGAATTTCGTTTTTAACGGACAAACAATTTGGTCCCCAGGGCCGCTTTTAGCTGTAGTTCTGTTCGGCTATAACGGACATGCAGTTCCGCCTACAAGGCGCGTGGCGTGCCGGTGATATCCAGCGCAGATACGTAGTCGGGATTATTAATAGTCACGCATCCGGTCAGGTAAAGTTGGATTACTACATGTACAATATAATAATCTATACCACAAGTGTGTCTGCTGGGGTGTGGCATGAGTAAATGTTGCCCTGTAGTTGTGTTCTGGCCAAACAGCAACTCTGCATATAACGGACTGTTTTGCCAGGTCCCATGAAGTCTGTCATAACGGGATTTTACTGTAGGAAGAAGTATCCCACCAAACATTTAGGGTAACAATTTCGTAAGTACCAGAAACTAAGACAAAATTTGACTTTAGTAGTGGATATAAAACACACAAAATCTTTACACAGTAAAATCAGCTCTGGTCAAACTATGCAAAAGATGCCTGAAAATGCATGCAAACTTTATTTGGAGGTCTTATTGTTTCACAGCATATGGGGAAAAAGAAAACAGTGGGGAACTGCACACATACATGAAATGATTTTAATATCTATACATTTATATTTGTATTGGTATATTTAAGATTTGATGTAAATGCACGCATTTTTGTTGTTGATTAATAAAGTTGTGCTAGTTGCTTTTATTCCAGCGTTCTTGATTCTTTGCTACAATATATTCACTAAGGAAATTGAATGGAATTTTTTTTTTCACTTAATTTGCATTGGAATATGAATGCAAATTAAGTGAAATAAAAGAAGCTGGTATGGTAAACCACTTAAAGGACTACTGTAATGTAACATCACAAAACCTAGCCATGTGTCTTTGAGTAAACCCTTTTAAAATCAAAGATTTCGCCACATTCTGATGTATTTTAAATTATCAATTCAACTCTGGGGATAAGGAAACTGGGTTGGGGGCCTAATACAATATGTTTTCATTGGGCCCATAATCTCTAATGTCACCCCTGCTCCTGAATCCCACTGACTCTCAAATTCGTATTTTTCAAGAAGCATGACCATTTTTCTTCTCCAGTTTTCCCACTTTGTTTTCTGCCATTTCATTTATTTTTCATCACATCCTCCATCTCCTTGCTGATACATTCTAAGGTGTCAGCAAATGCTTGATGGATTTTCATTAATAGTTGTTTCTCTCTTTTAAAGAATGCCTGAATTCTTTGCACGATTTTACATTTCAATTCACTCACTATAGGACTAGCAGTGTTCAGCTTGTTATTTTTGCTGGTATTGAGTCCAGGGGTTTCTGGTAAATGTACCATATCCCTA